GCCAAGGTATATTATAGGTTTTTTTCACCGACTTCTCCAGGTTATAAGATCTGCCACTGTATATTATCGGTTTTCCCCACCGACTTTCTCTCGGTTATAAGATCTGCCACTGTATATTATCGGTTTTCCCCACCGACTTCTCCAGGTTATAAGATCTGCCAAGGTATATTATCGGTTTTTTCCCACCGACTTCTTCAGGTTATAAGATCTGCCACTGTATATTATCAGTTTTCCCCACCGACTTTCTCTCGGTTATAAGATCTGCCAAGGTATATTATAGGTTTTTTTCACCGACTTCTCCAGGTTATAAGATCTGCCACTGTATATTATCGGTTTTTCCACACCGACTTTTTCCCGGTTATAAGGTCTACCACTGCATATTGCACTTTACTTTATATATCTGTTAGCATTTTATAAAAAAAAAAACTTTTAAAACTCTATCGTGTTTAATCTTATTAAGTAAACACACAGTTACTTTCAATATTAACACGAAAAAATGAAAACCTTGGTAGAAGTTACTTCTGAACCTCTGTTACTAAAAGATTAAATCGTTTTGATTTTGTTGTGGACTATTATGAAAATGGAATTTTCATCCTGAACAGAACCTAATGTGCTCTTAGGCTAAACAGCCAGATCACAAACACTTAAGATTCAGATACAGGTGTCTCTAATTTTGAACTACTGATAAAATGAGGAGCAGCCAATCAGCATCATCCACAGAAACAAAGATTTGTCCAGCTTTTTGAACGGAATAATAAGCCCGACTGTCACTTTTTAACGCACTCACACCTAAAAGTGTGAAACATATTCTGCAGAATCACGGCTCCAACCTTGGGCCTTCGAACAGCAGCTCGTCACGCTAATACGCATTATATGTTTAAGTTCGCAAACACCTGTGATGACGTAGCTTGAAACTGGATAAGTAAATCGAATATCAGTGTTTCTTTCCAGCAATGTCACTGGAACAAACGAAATGAATATCTTACCTCAGCTATCTATAAAAACTATGAACTCTAAAAATGATACAAATTATACTCGCTACAGTTCAAATATCATATTTCAAAGCAGTTAGACCAGAAGAAACCAGAAGAGATAGTATACCCGGATTGGGAGTCTGAGGGCTCAAAGTTCGCGTTCCGTTGCCGCAAAAATTTACTACGCACTTTTGGAGCTTTGGCGTGCTATCGGTCATAGCACACTATTTGGGCAGGCAAAGTTTAGATCCAAAGTTAGTCGTGTGTACTATTGACTATCAGAATTCCGCTAAATCCATAAACTCAAAATGACAGCTATGTGCAGATATCTCTTGTGTGGCTTTTCGCGAAAATTCTAAAACAAACAAAACAGTTATAAATTTAAATAAACTGCGATCTATACATATTTGTAGGGAGAAGAAGCACCTATTAGCATGCTTTCTTCTAGAACACTTCCATCATGTTCCGCGGACAGTATATAGTTCTGCATGATCGTGTTATACGCATACACATATAATAATTTCTATAATTTTGCTTATAATATTTTTAAAAGGGGGGGCACAGAGGACCAACAAAGAAAAGTTAATTTCACTATACAGTTTTTACAAACACACTAAAACGGAAGTTCTAATGTAACGTTTCTTCTTCCGCTCTTATATCAATACTGAGGTTCATATCTAGTTTCTGAAATAGAAACAACCCACCATGATTTCCTACGTCCTTCCGCACTCCAGGATGTTTGCGTGATAGAATAAAAGTTTGGTTTCTTTGGGATATTCGCGCAAAGCTACAGAAGTGGTGTATGCACTAGTCGCCTCTAATCTCTAAACTGACAGATTAGAGTGAAGGCAGCTAGCTGGTCAATAGAATCCACCAGCGACTCTACTCAAATCACGGGATTTGTAGCAAAGAAACGAGAACCATGAACCCTCGAATTTATACTACGGGCACGCTAGTCAATAGGCCACGGCCGGACCTAAATGGTGAAATCAAATAGAACACGATGAATATGAAATAAGCGTGACCCTTTTTTTATGTTACTCATGTCAAGTCATAAATACCACTTATGAGTTTTGTTTACAATATCGTCTAGAGAAACAAGAAGGATGTTTGTGGTTGGCTGTACTGAAAGCATAGTGACGTTTATTACCAGGTTTGACAAGTGAGCTTGTAGCCTCATAATTTGTTGTCACAAAGAAGCCGTGTCTTCATGAATCTACTTGAAATTGATCATTAAATGTAATAAAGTCCTTAGGTTTTCAGTAGCGAGTGTCGAAAATATGAGATTCCTTGGGCGCGATCCCACGAGCTTGAAATCAAGTTCGTCAAATTTCAGTTAAAACATGGGCAAGGTTAACGACCAGTTGCGGAAAAATTGCGCTCTGTGCTATGAACCGTTGAGTGCGCTATAAGAGTGACAGTCAAATCTTACTATTTGGTCAGACAGGAGTAGCCTAATAGTTGTTGGTAAGTGATGTTGACTAACTGCCTTCCCTCTAGGCTACCAGTTAAAAATTAGTTGGTGGTAAGTGCTGTTGACTAACTGCCTTCCTTCTAGGCTACTAGTTAAAAATTAGTTGGTAGTAAGTGCTGTTGACTAACTGCCTTCCCTCTAGGCTACCAGTTAAAAATTAGTTGGTGGTAAGTGCTGTTGACTAACTGCCTTCCTTCTAGGCTACTAGTTAATAATTAGGAAAGGTAGTTTTGCGCGAAATTCAAAACAAACCATCTTTGGTATTATTCTTGAAAGAACAGATGAACATGTATTCTGTACTCATTTTTTGAGGTGTTGCATCAATTCACTTATTAACTCATTAGACAAATTAACTTGCTATATCCCAATGAATCAAACTGTTACACCAAAGCTACTGAAATAAACTCGTTAGCGATTAATTTGATTTGTTAAACGTATTGGAAGAAACTCGATGAAGACAACTAACATCTAATAAACCCACTTTAGAAATACACCAAGAAACGTTGAACATAAGCTCGAATTATTTATACAAAAAGTTTTCAAAATTATATCATTCGTTTCTCATTATTTTAATATTATAATGAAATATACTTGAATTACCGTAACATGTTGTTTTACATAAATAATCCCAAACGAAAGAGATACATAACCTACCTATAAAAATCTGGATATACGTATAAGTTAATTTATGGGACAATTAAGACACTCAAGCAGAAATCGTTAGTATAGACTTAATTCACCAGGAATGTAGGACATACACTAAGTATGGCGATTCTAAAATCCTTTATAATGCCGATGTAATTTTAAAGGACAAAGTCGCCCTTTTCTATCTCAAAACGTATACATTAACAATCTGATAATTAACATAACAGTGTAATTAAATGATAGCGTAGATTGTCCAATAGCCAAAAAATAAAATAAGATAAATATAAATCATGATTTACGAACTTTATGATTATATATCAGTTTAAATCATGCATTTTTGGTAAGGGTAACTTATCATCACATAAATGAGAAGATGACGAGAAATATTTACAGAGTTGGTAGTTTACCTTCAAAACGTTGGTCATAGCGGCAAAGAGAAGTTTTGAGAAGCTTGTGTTATTGTTTTAACGCAAAGCTACACAATGGACTATCTGCTAAAATCCGGAGTTCGATTCCCGACGGTGAACGTTTTGGAAAGCATTTGTTCAGTACAATTCAACTTAGATCAAATTACTGAGTTGTTTTTATACCGTTTACTAGAAGTGGGGCTACGCATCACATCATATTGAGTAATTGAGTAATTTCCACCTGGAGGGGTCACCTGGTTTAACCACTCGCACCACTATACAGTAGTATGTTGTCTGTCTGTCAGTCAGTAGACACTAAATGACATCACATAAAGGACGCTTAACGTTGCAGTTTGTACTGCCGTGACGTCAGTAAAATGCGCGCATGCCTTGAATCACGAGAAGAATTGTGCACTTCGTAGGCTACAAGACAGCAACACATATGAATTTCAAAAGCACGAAATAAAAATATTTGTTACTCTTAATTTTGGTTTTATTAACTGTTGAAACAGAACACTTTCGGGGACCCTGTGGAATGCTGATTATATTTTAATATTAAACCAACTGTTGGTCACTAACATTTTGTTATATCATATATGTCACGAATCCTTTATAACTCTGATCTAATGTTATCTAACATAAAGATTTTTTTGGTTTAGTTGTACTACACTTTCTTTCTTTAACTAAGATCAAAGTTGTTGCTAAATTCTTACCTTTAGATGAATGAACTCAATTACTTGATCAATATTCTAGATAACGTTTCATCTCTAGCCTGCAAAACAAATATAGTTAACTGTATAGGGCGATTGTAGAGCTGAAGTTAAACGCCCCTACTTTAGATCGAGCGCTTCGCAACAGTAACGTTATTTAAAAGAAGGATGTTTAACAACTGGACGGTTTTGTTAAAGGCTTGAAGCTGTGTTCATGAAGAGAACAAAACTCATTGAAACATTATATAATGGGCGAGAACGTCTTTGTCGTAAAGGAAGTCAACTCTTAACCCTCGACAGGGTTCAAGATATGAACGGTAGCACAGTCAAGCTTTACGTTCCATCGAACTTCTCTAGATAAAGTTTAATGCACGCGGAGACGTAATACACAGCTTGGCTTCCCTCACGTTTACTGTGCGACCTTTTCACGCGCACTTAGGGTTCTGTCGCGTGCCACAGAGTTTTCAGCTTTGAGCCTGTGATGTTTAGAGGCCGCATGATTTTACGCAATGACGAGAAGGAGAGGTGGGAGTGTGTAGAAGTAGAATCTAGAGATTCTAACAGCTTCCTCCTTATCGGTGAATTCGAGCAACAATGAAAAGAACACCTGCCTTCACCACATGTCTTTCAACAGAACTCGAAAACAGTTTTTTTTTTTACTTCAACCAAAAGAATAGGAAGTAGCAAATCGGAATTTTTTACTTCAACCAAAAGAATAAGAAGTGGTAAATCGGAATTTTTTACTTCAACCAAAAGAATAGGAAGTGGTAAATCGGAACTTACATAACTTATTAGATATGTTAGTTTTTAGAAAATGTACCGACTGCTTAAGAAATAGACGACAAGAATATAAGGTATAATAATAATAATATTAATAGAATATTTATTTTATAACAAAATAAACATTTTAGCCTTATGGTGATTTTAAAGAAATGTTCCAAATCTGTGTATTCGAAGTGCGAATATTTCCCAGTTGTTTTAATTTTTTGACTGGAAGAAAGAGATTTATACAAGTTAGTAATTCATAAAACTTTTCCTGTCGTATGTAGCATACGAAACAGCGCTTCTGTACTTTAGATGTGTAATATTCATACGGCAGTTGAAACAACCGAAATAAAACTGAAAACGGACGAGGCCGAACCTTTGTATAAAGCTGAAGAATAGCATACATACAGTGGACGCAAAATGCAATAAAAATATTGCGTCAACAGTTTTATTGGTAAATGCTCATTAGTAAAACCCACACAGATTTGAACGAAAGACTACGAAACCAATTTTCTGCTTTACTCATCCACCGTGCAACAGTCGCGGTTGACTTACAAGTCCTTTGGTAACCTGGTACTAACTATACTATTCCTTAACTCATCGTCATTACGTTTTGGCAAATGACCATCAAGCAACAGAAAGACAAAACGTTTTTTAAAGTATTTCAATTTTACACAAAGTGTCGGTGGTAATAAAAATAGTTTATGTTCCTAAAATTAGTTCAAGAATGTGAAAACACCGACTAGACTGGTCTCTATCTATTTGATAGGCTATTTACGATCTCATCTTGCGTTACTTTTGAGGTCGTAGACACTTTTGGCAAACTGCATTGTCAGGCACCATTAGTTTATTGTGTTTTCATAGCTTCTTGTCTTTCTCTCTACATAAATAAACCTCCCAGCTTGTCACGGGAACGCCGCTTATTCAACGCCTGTCTTAAAGTTGAAATTATGGCGATAATTGTTACTGATATGGTTGATTGAAATGTAAGTTTAAACTAAAAGCAAAAGTGAAAAATGTTAATTTTGTAAATAATTCTTCGAACGATTTTAGACTTCGTTTTTATAAATTTTGGTACTTATAACTTAGTAATCTATCATTGTAAACCCATCGAAAGGTTATTCTTGACAAGGCATAAAACAGGCGGTTTCCACCATCAGTGGAGAAGCGCACATGGTATGATGATTCAACTATATATTTTAAAAAATATTCATGTTATTTTTGTTTTATTGCAAAGCTATATAATAGGCTATCTGCGCTATGTCTACCGCATTGGATCGAACTCCGGATCTTAGACTTGTAAGTCCGGAAACTTATCGCTGACCCACCGAGGGACAAAGATATTTATATATCAGAATACATAGATTGTCTAGCGTTATGTTGTTGGTTTATAAATGCTACAATGTCACAGAGTAGAATCCGTTAAATATTACATTGCAATGTAAATGAACTTGATTTGGTTTATAATTAAGCACAAAGCTAAACTATGGGCTATCTGTGCTCTGCCCACCACTGGTATCGAAACCCGGTTTCTAGCGTTGTAAATCCACAGACATACCGCTGTGCCACTGGGGGGTGGGTTGCAGATGAACTCGTGTAACAGGCTTTGTCACCATAGAAGAGACACCGGTACGCATAACCATAATGGCTAATAGATAGGGTAAAGCTTATTTTTGTCGCTTCTTTCTGCAAAACATTATTGAATAACTTATGGAGTGGACTTAGAATGGGACTTGAATGCACTGGAAGCAACCATTATTTGTTACTTCTGAAGTTTCGTTATGTGACGCGTCTACAAAGTAGCGCACAATAAATTTTGTGGCATTTAATTAATAAACATAGCATACCTTTTAAAACAACAATTATTTATTATTGCAAAACAAAGACGTTTTGCTACATGTTTCGATCACATTTATTAGGGGTCATCAAACTGAGTACATAATTTAAAATCATAAATAATATTCAACGTTAAACTGGTACACAATTAAAAACATTTTATTTAGGCCTATCTATGGCCTTCAAAAAAGTTGACGACTCTACATGCTTCGAAGTGCCAAAATACTATAATTGAGTACATAATTTCAGGACATCAAATAATGATAATCCAAACAAATGAAGCAAAATACTTCGTTTGGCAATAACAAATAATCGTGGTTTAAAAAACTGTATAACTTTTATTAACACAGTTTATATCTTAAGAAAAGCATTAACGACGTCAAAGTTGCCATAACAGAAGAGGAGCCACAGATCATATATAACAGAACTAATTATTATATGAGGACGAGGACAAGTTGAAACGTAGTAATGTTTTTAACTTTAGTATTTATTTCTGATTACAGACCATAGGTGAGAGCCATTGGACACCATTACTTTATCGAATTGAGAACATATTTCAGAACATCACATATTTTTACCTAAGGTATTAACATTATTATGTATTACTTCACATCACATTTTACATTTTCATACTTTTTTTTCTCCACTTTAAATCCACTAAAGTTCCACCCGATTATAAAAGGATTGAATTGAATCTAGTTTGACATTTACTTTCTCATACTTTTTCTCTCCGTTTTAAATCCACTAAAGATCCACCCGGTTATGAAAGTTTTGATTTGAATCTAGTTTGACATTTACATTCTGATACTTTTTCTCTCCGTTTTAAATCCACTAAAGATCCACCCGGTTATAGGAGGTTTGATTTGGATCTAGTTTGACATTTACATTCTGATACTTTTTCTCTCCGTTTTAAATCCACTAAAGATCCACCCGGTTATGAAAGGTTTGATTTGAATCTAGTTTGACATTTACATTCTGATACTTTTTCTCTCCGTTTTAAATCCACTAAAGATTCACCCGGTTATAGGAGGTTTGATTTGAATCTAGTTTGACTTTTACATTCTCATACTTTTTCTCTCCGCTTTAAATCCACTAAAAATGCATACGTTTATGAGAGGTTTGATTTGAATCTAGTTTGACATTCTGATACTATCGCGCTCTCTCTCTCTCCCCGGTTTAAATCCATTAAAGCCCAATCGGTTATGAGGGCTTGGCTTGGACGTAACGTTTGTTGTTGTTTTTGAATTTCTCGCAATGGACGTAACGTATTAGAGTCAAAATTTTATTCTGTCATAAATGAGGAGAATCTGTAATTTATAGGCCTTATTTTCACGGTTTGCTACTTCAAACATGTTAGTAGCAGAAAGAAAAACTTGTTTCTGAAGTAGCAAAACTCAGTAAGTATATTATATTGTCTATAGCCGCTAAAATTACCCATTTAAAACAAAACCAAAAACAACTGCTTATATCTTGATACTGTGATACAAACAGCAGTTTTAAACCAGTCATAATTAATCATAATTTATGTACATCATATGAAGAGAGATTTCACTTGGTATAGTTCTAAAAATACCAACAAACTTCTCAGTATGATTATGAGAGCCTTACTGAAAATAAGTCAGTAGACATTTTACATTTGAGCGGAAATATATCATTGCTAATCGTGCACTGACCGTTTTTACAGTTTTACACACACACACAGACAACACCTGCTTGATTTTTCTTTTCTTTTCTCTCTGCATGCACCTGTTGCTCACTCTATACACGTGCATGATGTTTGTCCATATACACGTATATGGCTGTCTGGTTCCATCATACATCGTATTGTTCCTTGCTTGTCATGTCATTAACCCTCATATGATAGATAAAAGTATTCAGAGGGTTTAACAATGACCAAGACGGAGCTTAAAGCTAACAGATTTGTTCTTCATGTTGACGCTGATAAGCACAAAAAAGCATCAGCACGTGTCGTCAATTTCCTTTGTTTTGAAACAGTAGAGAAACTCTCTTTAGTTCGAGAAGTTTCGACAAAATAATTTACTATATTCTTAATACAAGACAATCAGTTATACAAAACAGTATAGCCAAGGTTTGAAAATCATTGAGATTCTTTTCGGAAGAAAGATATATTTTACGTTTTGAAATAGCTTAATAGCAATGTTATTACTGAAATAATGGAACTAGTCTAAGGACTAAAGTAAAATATATAAAGAGATGAGCTTTACGAGAACGAAGCTAAAATGTTAAGATAAAACCTTGAGAAGGAATTGTTGAAACCATTTATATATTTAATTGGTGTATGTAATAAATATTATTTCAAATTGTTTTCATTGTGAATGCCTAATATCTTTGCAGCCCTACGTCAAAGACTGTAATAACATATTTTATTTGAGCCCTAATTACTGTGACAAGTTCGTAAGATACCTATTGAGGTACTGTTTAGCGACAAAGTCGAGAGCTCTCTGTGGTACCGGAAGCGTTAAACTTTAGTGCCAAGTGTTCTCTGGAGTACCGAAAACGTTAAACTGTGACGCCTATAGTTCTCTGGAGTACCGGAAGCATTAAAATGAGATGTCCAGAGTTCTCTGGGGTACCGGAAGCATTAAACTATGGTGCTTAGAGTTCTCTGGGGTACCCGAAGTTTAAACTATGGTGCCTAGAGTTCTCTGGAGTACCGAAAACGTTAAACTATGGTCCCTGTAGTTCTCTGGAGTACTGGAAGCGTTGAACTATGGTGTCTAGAGTTCTATGGAGTACCGGAAACGTTAAACTATGGTGCCTGGAGTTCTTTGGAATACCGGAAGCGTTAAACTATATATTGTGACTAAAGTTATCTTGAATGCTGGAAGCATTAAACTATGGTG